GTAAAGCTTATTCCAACTTTATAGTTAATGACAGTTTTGTAGGAGAAAGTTAAAAATAAATTAGAAAAAACAAATGTTTTTAGGTAGTAAGTATGGCTATGAAGTAAAAAATGTATAGCCAGAACAGCACACTTTTTATTATTATGTTGAAGCTTTTTCGAGCTAGTGCATTTAAGCACTCATACGCTTTTTTAACTCAAGGTTTCTTCAAAACCCCTCCCTACACCTTGACTAGATTATTGTTTATCATTTCATCAGACTAAGCAATAATTGACCTCAGATCTGCATACCTCCCCGAGGAGCCTGTATATATTATTTTATAACATTTGCAATTTATTATAACAACAACAGATCACTCACTTCCTATTTGGTTTTAGATATTCCAACCGCATGTGCATGTGTTACCGAATCCGCAAAATTGATTCTCTAAACTGCAAATAATGCTGAGTTAATACCGCAGAGCACAGATTCTTTATGTGTAATAAGTGGCTAAGAGAAGTGCTAGCAACGCAAGTTAGAGTTTTTTATTTAAGGAGGGTGACAGAAAATGTGCTGAAAAAAAAGAAACAAAACAGGGATTGCATAGGAATGTTGATGAAAACATCCTAAGGTTGGAAAAAGTAGATCACAACAAAAGGTAGTTGGAGCAAGCAGATATATTACACAAAGACGAAGTGCAAGGGTTGACAACAGAAGCAGCAGCAGGGCGTGCACGCACTATGGAAATCATAAATTACTAATAGGGACCCTACCTTAAAGTAATTCTAAAGTAGTTCCGGGGTAAAAAAATGTTTCTAGGAATAATTGGCAAGGGTTTAGTCCATGCGAAAAGGGCACTCATTTTCTGGGACACCGAATTGTGGTCGCCGAATTATTATAATAATAACAACAAAAGACTAATATAAGAATTTCTGGTCTCTATTTAGGTTACTATGGTAATTACAAATTTATAACTGTTTGAAATCATTTAGTTTGATTATATATAAATTCTTAATTAGTGAATACTTTTCATTTTCATATTTTATCTGAAAAATTCTTACTACCTTATATATTTAAAGCATCTACTACTAGTGTTAAGCTACGTTGGAAAGTACTAAAATCTAAGACTTGATTAGAATATTACAGTATTTTTTCTTAAATTATGACAATATATTTTTTATTAGACATATATTATGATTATGAATACAGTATATAATTTTTACTTCTATAACCTTTGATTTTCCATATATTACAGCATTAAATTAAATTGTAATTGTTAGGATCTATATGTCTAGTTTAGATTTTCAATGACTTCATTTTTAGTAAATGAATAGATAATAAAAATAAAATAATAAAAATTAATAAATATTTTTAATTTTTTTACTTAACAAAATATAGTTTAAAAATAAATAAAAAATATTTAATCAATTTTTTGAAAAAAATTTAGAAAATGTATATATTTAAGCAATTGTGTCTAGTTGCAGATAATTTAACTATCTTTGCCTTGAATTAAGTCGCTCAGATTTATTATAATTTCCTTCAATAAATTTAAGTCGAATTGCTTAATGATTGCTGAATTTTTCCACGCTTTAAAACTAATTTAAGGTTGCTTAAATCTATAACTTATTTTTATATTAGACATCCTCTTAGATATTATTAAAAACCTTTAAACATACTTAACTTTTTCTTTTTATAGTCTGAATCATGTAGTTGTGAATTCCATTTATAAGTCCGAAATAAAAATGTATGCTCTAAATTTTTCTATAATAATTTAATTTATATTTGATTTAAATTATGTTACATATTACGGCTGAGAGAAAACTATTTAATTTAAAGTTTTATCTGTTAAAAAATAAACTTTAAAAAAGAGCTTAATTGTGACTAAATTTACATATATGTTTTATCAGTTATCCTATAACTTATCTTTTATTATATCTGCCATAAATATTTTTATTATTTTCATAATATTTCTTCTTGATGATATTTCTTCTTCTTGATCTTGATACATTTTTATAGAACTGAGAGTAATTATAAAAATACTACTAATCATTCTAGTAATAATTATAAAGAATATAATGATCAAACATTATTATTATTATCTATATTTACTTATTTCATAATACAAAACCGCATACTGCATTTTAAGATTGAGACTGAATATTTTTAGTTATTAAAAGTAATATGAATTATTGGTTTTTATATAGAAATGCAGTTATTGAACTATCAAAATATGGTAACTGTGATACTTTTAACTGATAACATAGTCTTCGCTTTCTTCGATAATTCATCATTCCACTATTTAGAATATTTTTGAATTCCGAAGCGTAGTGCCAAATCCATGTTTTCGTAAGATATTAGTTAAATATCCTAATATTGTCGTAGAAATGCTTAATTTAAGACAGCGATTATGGCACCTTTCCCACAGAGAACTGTTTTATTCCTAAATCTAAAATCCTAAAGCATGTAATAATGTGTCTTTTAAATTTATTTTATATTTGGCTGGTATATTTTTTGAACATTGAACATTTTAAGTAATTAACAGTTATGTTAGTTAATTTTAACATTATGTATTATAATGTTTATGTATAATTAATAACATTATATGCATATATTCATAATATTAATATACGAATATATTCAATTATATTTATATTATGTTTTTATTTATTTATATTATTTATATTATATTATTTATATTCTGTGAATGTATATACTACACTCGTATATACATATACTCGTATTAGAATTTTTTTTTCAAAATCATTGAGCGACTTAACTTCACCTGCTTTGCTGGAAAAAGGTGTTTGAAGCTGTAGTTGGCTAAAGAAGACGTTAAGGTAGACCATGTTTTCGATGGAGTGATCAAGCTTATCTAGCAATACGCGTACTTCTTTTATAAGATTGGAGACGATGACTACGAGGCTGGCATGCCTGCAAAGGTGTGCTGCGTCTGACAAAAACAATTGCTAATTAAGAATTAAGAATTTCTGGACTAATCATTCAGTTGCTAAATACCCATCATCAGTACTTTTTAAAAATATATTTTCAATGTTATTTTATATCTATAAAGTTTTAGATATCTCAACCAACGCCATACTTGATTTGTCTTATTCTAATTTAATGTGTTACCAGATTATTTTTTTAGCTACAAATTTACTTGCAATTTATATGAGAAAAATGCATAAACCATAGTTACGTGTAATTAACTATAATAGTAGTTTATCAACTTAGCAATATTTGTTAGTTACTGAAAATTTCTTAAAATATTAATAGGTATGTATTTATATATAAAGTAATACATTTGAGACTTAATATTTTGTTCCAAATAACTTTAATTGTAATTTATTGTTGATTATTTGCAGTGGAATATATTAATCGAATAAATTATGTACTTAAATTTTTTAAAAAAAAATTGTAATTTTTAATTTAATTTAATTTTTAATTAATTGCAATTTTTTATATATTTTTAATAAATTGCAATTTTTTATAAATTATAATTTAAAAAATTTTATTACATATTTAATAAATTATATGTAATTTGTCAATGTTGAGGGGATCTTTTAAAAAAGACTCAATGGAGAAATATGTTAAACATATGTAGTCTTAAAAAAAACGAAGTTATAAATGATTCAAAAAATTTGTCTTGTCAGATTGAAAAAACTATAACTTTCTATATACTTTTAAAATTTTTTGTTTTGTTTTTTTTTAACGTTAAAATCTATTTTCTCCCTAAGACAAATAATATCTATTTCAAATAGAAGAAGGCTAATAGAGAAGTTTTGAACATTGAACATATGTTTTAAGTTAAAGTAGCTGGAATCTTCAATATATAAATGACACCTTTAATTGCATTATTAAACATAAATTAATTATTAAAAATAAATGTTATAAATAAAATTTATAAAATCTGTAGAAAAAAGATTATGGAAATAAGAATTTAGCAATATGTAATTATGTATTTATTTTATTTATTAAACTCATAATAAATAGGATATATTTAATTAAATAATTTATATATAAGTATTTTTTTATATATACGCATTTATAATAAATAAAGATTGTAATATTTAATAGTACATCAAAACATTTTTTTTATAAACAATAAAATTTAAACTACTATGACTTATTTTGTTTTTGAACAACAATTTTTAAAGACATTTAATATGAAGTATATATATATATACATGTATATATGTATGTATGTACATATATATATACATATATAGTACATAGGTATATAAGTATATAGTACTTATCGAAATAATTCGTACATTTAATAAAAAAATTGATTTCATTATATATTTCAAAATAATTTTTTGTAACAAAAAATTTATAAAAACTAACAAAATCAGCATTTTTATTGTGTAAAAATAAATAAATAATTGTGTGACAAGCCGATTAAAATTAATATATATAATAAATTTACAAATTATATAAACTTTAAATAAAAATTTAAATAAAAATAAATATAAAAATTATATTTTAGAATATATTTATATGTTTTGTACATGGATTAATTTGCCAATTATATCTATTATCTTATGTATTTTTTTTTTTAATAAAAAGCAACTCTTGAAAAGATATTTAAAATTTTTTAATATCTTTAAACCAACATTTATTGTAATTATTTAAATTATTAATTAATAATAAATAAATAAATGAATTACCTAAATAAGATTTTTAATGAATTTCTCAGTTTTCTGAGAATGAACATGGAAGATGATTGAAATATTGGACTAAATAAATAAATAATTTTAAAGAATATACTAAATATAACTCAATTTTTTTAAGATTCTTGATCCAAAAGCTTGTAAAAAATATTTAAATTTACTAAAATATTTTTGTTTATTAAATAAATATTTATTTAATTGATTCCACAATGTAATCAAAGAAGCTAAGACTAAAAATAATTTAGTTTATAGGAAAGTAAATCTCTTAACAATAAAATATTTACAATACTAACAGTCATAAAACATTATATATATATTATAATTAAATAATTTAATATTTCGTGTCGAAATAATAAAATGACTTCGATTTCTGGTAAAAAAAAATTTACACTGATTTTACCAGAAATTTTCATAGATTAAAGCAAAATTTTGTTTCGCTTAACTTTTTGACTTTCTGACTTTCTGCAGATGATTTGATTGCTCAGTTCGTTAATTTGGCTTTTACTGCTTAATTCATTTATAATGGAAACATCCTTTTTCACTTCGTATTTATGTTACATTGCGGATATAGGCGTAGACAATCTCTTTGATCCTGACCATCGCGTGCAGCTTGTATTAGCCGATAGAAGCGGATCACTGCCTCGTTTGTCTTAGTCACTGGCTCCAATTCATTAGAATCGCTGGTTTGTTGTAATTGAGACATGAAAGAAAAAGGATAACATTTAGTGAATTCGTAAGTTAATTAAGAGGAAATTCTTGTATAAAAGTAAGCATTTAAATTAATTTCAAAATTGATTAAATTGCTCCGGTTTGGTTTGGTTTGGTTTGGTTTGGCAGCGTTTAATTAGTTCTGTGCGCGCGTGCGATGCTCGAGGGTAGAAAGCCACCTAAAGATGTTTTGGTTAATTTGTTAATTAATTTTTCATCTGTGCTTTTCAAGTTCAATTTTTTCTTGAGTTCCGTTCAAGGATTATGTACACATCCAGGTACATTCAAGTTCGTTGTAGCAAATACAAAATGCCAAAAATAGCCTTAAGTGTTTCATTAAAGTTCATATGTTTTCGATAATAAATCAATACCAACATTAACACGAATATCTGATACGAGTATACTGCATATTATATTCTGTATATATTATGAAAATGAAAATTACATTAAGTGGATGTGGGGTATGTTGATGACAGGATGGATTTTTTTGTTAAGAAATTGTAAAGGAAATGTTAAAATGATGAAATATTTTCTTTTGTAATTAACAAATTACAATGCAATTTAAGGAAAACGACGAATTTGAGAGTTTGTGCAGCGAATCATTTGAAATATAAAAAAATATTAAAAAATAATATAACACATAAATATATATCACATAATCATTCATATATGTGAATATAATATTTCACATATATGAGTTTAGGAATGGTACAAATGCTTTCAAGAAAGTTGAGAATACAATAAATATGACGTGAGTTCAAAGCGCCCAAACGTGTTCAGGAAGGTATATGTTAGTATATAATGAAATAAGACGTGAGGTCCAAACGCGTATCAGTAATGAAAACATAGAAAAATTAAACGAATGGTAAATGCAAATAGAGGGAATGGTAATTCTTCTATTGTAGAGAAATTAAGCAAATTGTGATTGCTAATATAACAACAGCCATTATAGAATTAGGTGACAAAACAGAAATATGTTAAGAATTTTATAAAATGGGTTGTAATTTTTTATAATCGATTTTACACATATTTTATTCATTAAATTTAACTACAATAGAAAAAAAAATTTAAGAAAGAATAGTAAGTGCAACCATATAATATAATACAATATTCACTGAATTTTTCATATAACATCAAGTCTTCAGAATGAGGTCTTCAGAATGAGGAGAATCAACAGAAAACGGTATATTAATGTAATCTACCACGGATGTTACAATTATAATCGCTACTGGGGGCAGAAATACTTGAACCCTTGTTACTTCATATAAGTTTATATATTGAAAAAAATGTGAATGAGTATACAATTCGAAAGAATTTGTTGCAAGCGGTGGATTTAGTATAGAATATGAATGGGGTACTGGCTTTCAACAGACCGAATTGCTGCAACTGTTGCAGATTTTTTGCGCTGTTGAACCCAACTGAACACAAGATACTTTGATCTTTAAAAAAAAACTGTGAGTTGTTGAGACAATCTTAAAATTAGACAAAAATAGAAGTCCCGGAACAGAAATCCTTTTTTGACACAGTTCAAAGTCGATGATTTAAAGAGAATGTGATAAGAAATGTTATCAGCTGATAACAGAGAAGACAAAACCAATAACATTAGTTTTGTTTTTAATAAGAAGTGACGCCATTTTTAGTTAAAGAGGAAGCATCAAATGAGGTCAACTCTTTTTAATAAGAAATTACGCCATTTTTAGTAAAAGAGATCATTTCAGGTACGTCAACTTTTTTTAATAAGAAATGACGTTCTTCTTTAGTAGAAGAGAAAATATTACTACAGGTATCACACCAGTAGCCACTCTTCATTTATAATTTCGGAATTAAGATATATTTTTCATATTAATTTATATATAATCTAAAAATATGTGGATATCAAAGAACTTTATCGCTAAATATAATTGTACATCATCTTTTCGATGAGTGTTGAAGAATGCATTTGAGTATATAAACGTAATCGACATGGCATCTGTCTAGTTCAGGATAGATTTGATTAAATTGTCACCATGATTCTAGAGATTATTTTAGGCAGGGTGGACCATTGTATTGTCGTTACAATCTTAGCGCATTTAAAATCGTTGTTTAGTCTTCAATGAAAGTAAAAATAATAACCTGAGGTCTTGTGCTTGACTAATATCTTGTGAAAAGTAAGTCATCAGCATATTCAGTATTCATCTGTAAGCGTTTCAATGTTTTTCCCATCATTTGCACTGGGGAGTCAAAAGTAGTTCCTTTGCCTGTTTTTTTACGGTAATGACCTGTCAGTAAACCAATTTTATGACACACATATCTACAAGGCATCTCAATGAGTGCCCTTTTAAGAGCGGTCAACTTGTTTACAGATATCTGCATATCATTCAACTTTCGTTTCTTGTATTTGTATTTCTCTATTTAATAAATAAATATTGTTTGTTCAAATTGGCAATAATCATTTATTTATTATTTTTCTCACTTAGTCATTCGATTTTTTTTTTGATATTTTTCAATATAAGACTTACTGAAAGGTGTCATTCCCGCTGTAAGACATCATAGAGAAATTAAAAATATTTTGTTAAACATCATGTAGCATTTCATTTACGCTTGATGACGTCTCAAAGTGTGCTGAGAGCCGTCATTGTTTAAGGTATTGAAGCATATCAAGCACAAATTGTGGGACTATAAAAGGTAAAGTTGAAGGTATTCAATGAAGAAAACTCATTTCATTATTGTATTAAATTTTCCATTTTCCATTTTCCAAAAGCCGCGAATGCTTTGTTGAGCGCAAACATTGTGTTAGGCATTTGTAATGCTTCGCTGAATTGCTTTATCGATTTCGTCTCGATTGCAGAGTTAAAAACTGAAAATGTTGTCATTGTCATGGCTCATAAAGGTCTTACTTTTATCGCATTTCATCACTACACAATCTCACAGGTTGTTAACATGTCTTTGTGTAAATCTGGGAGCATGAATATAATAATTTATTTGATACTTCCATTAATTTAATTTTTAATATTTATAAACAGTTTTGCATTTTGCAAAGGTAAAGGTGCAATTCTTTCATTTACGCTTAATGCATATGTCATATTTAATATAATTTTCAGTACTAAAAATTAAAAAGCGTAAATTTGCGAAATTAATTTTGAAAGCCTTTTTTCAAAAGTTCATCATGACACAAAGCAAGTAAATTGCACTTCAGTACGATTTTTTGCTTTGGTGCAATGCGTTTAGTCAAGTGCAATAAGAAGTGCAACTGGAGTAACAGGAAAACTCACTTCGTTAGTGCATTTGTACTCCAAAAAGTGTCGTATGCTTTGGTCTGTCAAAAAAATGCGCTGACATAATTAGAGCAAGTTTCTTGGCTAATATCGCAAACTTCAAGACTGTGAAGAAAGTTTTCTAAACAGCTGGCGTTAGGAATTTCAGGTGTAATTACGAAGAACCAATGTTAATTTGTAGAGAGCATGGAGTAAAACATAAAAACTTTATAAATAATATTTTTTACTGAAAAAGTTACTGGAGCAAGTATACAATGTTGTTATTACTAAGAATGCAACGGTTAATAGTTGACAGAAATATGAAATATGAAATGCGTAATTGTTTGGTTTCATAAAAATTTATATTAAATAATAAAAAATAAATTACTAGAGATTTTTAATTCTTTTGTTTATATGAAATTTAAAATATTCACGAAAATTTATAATTATGATGTTTGAACACCATGAAAATCTCAATAAAACAAAACAATAGTTTTGCGGTTTATATTAAGTTTTATATTGTGGTAAGTTACAATAGTTTTATATTTTGAATTAATACGATTAATTATTATTAGGTTTTAAATTTCTTTAATTTTTCCTTATATTTTATATAACTATCCTAAAAAATATAAGTACACTTTTATACTATAGTTCAGGTATAACCTTATCTTATGAAATAAACCAACATATGAAAATATCAATCACGAACAGCTCGATTAGTTAAGAATGGGGTAGGGATAGAAGAATTTGGACTCAGACTTGAAATCTCTAATTGAAAATGCGACCATTTAGCCGAAATTTTCGTGATTGAAAAAGAGTAATATGGACCAATAGTTATTAATGCAATCAAGTCTCAACGGTTAACAACGAAAAATACCAGAGAAATTAAAGAGAATATCATAATATTATCTTATTTTTTAGATTGAAAAAAGAAGAAAATGTAATAGAAAAGTACTTAGTTGTCCCAGTGGTAATCTGAAATGAACAAGATGAGTTTTGAGACAACCTATTTGCCTTATCTGATACCAAATAGCGGATAGAGACCTATAATTAAAATCAATAAAATAATTATTTAAATTTAACGAAAAACAACTTGGTTATTCGAATATTCTAGTTGTCGTATTTGAGGGAATAGGAACTCTATCAACACATTGATAGATTGAACAAAGTACAAAGTGTGAGTATTTTGAATCGACTTGCAGATATTGTAAAGATGAAGAGGAAGTAAGCGCCGTGGAGGCTTAACATTACGGTGTTCGAAACACAACGTATCAAGATAATCCGCCGATAAACGCCCCATTGGAATTACCTTAGTAATACCGCCGGTACTTTGTGTAAGTCATATATTCCATTTTGGTGAAATGCGAGGTCTATTGTCTCTGTTACAATTTTGGGCTATAGCACCCGGTGGTGAATACGCAACTCCACGCCGAATGTGAACCAAAACTGAACATTCTTCCCGTGTAAGTTTGGGTATTAACAAAACTGCCACCATGAATCCAACTCCAAATGGTCAGTTTAGCCGAAAATGTAGGCCACTGACTCCCGTAGTACCAGATAACATGCAACTCTGGTCAGTTGGCGCAAGTGGGGCGGACTACTTACTACCATGTACATTTCTAACACAAGTGCCGGACTGACACCAGGGAATTTAAGTCGCCTCTTACGACTGGCAATCCTAACCGCGGACGAATTCTGTGAATCTGTAAAATCTGTGAATGAAAGATGCCTAGTACTGATGATTAAAGGAAAAAAGGCCGGTTGCGTTTAGTCTTTAGTTGAACAGAAGAATAAGTTTTGCTACTACTAAAACCAAGCAATCAGGAATTAAATCAGGAATAAATCAGTTGCAAGATTTGTTCCATTCAAAAAATAAAAATATGATTATTATTCGAATATAAATTAATTTTATATTCTATATTTGTAATAATGTATATTTACACTCATAAGAGGAATTTAAAATTGTATTAAATTAACCAGTTTTCAAATTGCTCAAAAAATCATTATCACCATGATTCTAGAGATTATTTTAGGCATGGTAGACCATTGTATTGTCGTTACAATCTTATCGCATTTAAAATCATTTTTTAGTCTTTAATGAAAGTAAATATAATACATGGAGGCCTTGCGGTTGATTAATATCTTATAGAAGGTAAGTCTTTAATATCATATTAAAAATTAACTAAATAATCGAATTAACCATGTACAGTAAAATAAATAAAACACTTTTCTACGCATTTCAGCAAATTGATTAATTTTCATACGAAATTTCATACAAAGAGTTAATATTGGTAATGGCATTAATTTGCAGAAATTGTACTTTTGTGAATAATTAGTTTCGTAATCTTACTTTCCAAACAAACTCAACTTGAGGGCATACAATCGAAATTGCAATTGAAAATAATTCAACAAGTCCTTGTAATCTAAACCTAATTGCATGCCTTGCCTTAAACCTTTGTATATTGCAATGATGTTAGAGCATACATAGGTCACATATGGCAGTATGCATAGCATTAAAGATTTTAATGAGCTTTTTTCTTTGACTACTTACCGACTCAGTTCTGCTGAAACGAAATTACTGTGCGGACTGTAACGATCCGGATCCTTGTACATGCTGCAAACTAAACGTTCCTTGCACAGGTCATCGGTCACTCCAAGCTGTTCAACTATTTTGTCGATTTTCAACAAAATCGGACTGTAAAAGGGGTCATAATTCTTCGGCATCAAAGGCTATTTAGAGTTGCAGGGTAGAATTAAATAAAATTAGATTAATTTCTATGCTACTGCCTTTTTAGGGAAATAAAATTAAATTTTTTATAATAAGACTACAACACAAACCTGACCGTCCTGCACAAAAGGTTGATTCTCCAATATCTTCTGTTGTTGAGCTATAATACGTTGTTCCGCCTGTATCCGCAGTGCTTCTTTCACTTGTGCAGTAAGTTCCGGCTAAAATGACAGGAGGAAAAATAACATAAATACAATTCTATCTCTTTTGAAGTGAATGCAAATGTTACAAAGAATTTTCATTAAAAGAAGCAGATGAAATACATTAAATAAGCAAAATAAACTACAATAAAATTTTGTGAAATTTGTCTGCATGTCCTTAAAAAGATATTAAAAATTTAAACCTTTAACACTTTGTTTTTTAATAAAAAAAAAGTTTTGTTATTAAATAATTTCCTTTCTTATTTAAATTAAAAAATGTATTAATAAAATTATTACATTTAATCCTTAGGGCTTCAGGTGGATTAAAATTGCAAACCACAATTGTAAATTGATTGATATTAATTAATAATATTAAATGAAGAATGATTTTTATTTGTATATAAAAATTTTTATATCATTTTATTTAATAAATTTATGAAGTAATAAAATTATAATTCTGTTCTGTATGTGCTGTTCTGTGGAAGCTTTTTACCCAACATAATTGTATCTCATTATGAAATTCGGTTTAATTCAATTTACAGATAATTCGGTTGCCTATCATATATGACGGCCATTCTCGCATTATACAATTACAAATTAAATTGATTTCATATGAAATCCGACACAAATTACCATTAAAAGCATTGCCTATGAACGTGTAAAAGATATTTATATATTAACAGATAATTCTGCAATTTCCATGGAATTTGTAATTTCATTCCATTAGTTTTGGCATTTGAACTATTGATAATTGATTTCTGTTTAAAATCCTTTAGATAACTTATCGAATAATATTATAGAATTATTTGTTAACATAGCTTTTATATTAAGTTAAATACATATTTGCATGGATTCCTTTAATTTCATAATAATAATATTAGTTGGTATTTTTATATCTCTAATTTAATATAAAAACAATTTAATTTTATTTAGTTTTATTTTTAGAAAATATTAATAAAGAGGTTTTTCGAACAGTAGTGAACAACTACAACAACAAAAATTCATTTTATATTATATTAATTAATTAAATTTATAGCTGAAAATATAGCTGTTTCGAGTATTGCCAAATACCCACCATCAGTGGTCTTGGAAATAATTCTTGTATTTAATTATTCGTAAATAATTTTTTGAGACTGCAAGTAGCAGGAATCGAACTCATGTCCTGCCAAATTTGAAGCTCAGAGTCAGCGCACCTTAACCAACTGACCCAAAGCCGTACTTGACTTTTTACTTTTTTTTTCGCATATTTTTCTGGAAAATATTAACATTTAATTCATTTAATACTTAGTAATATTAATAATAATATTAATAATATAGACAGAGCAAATCAATTATTGCCTACTGGTCGATATTTGTATTATTCGAGTAATCAACTGGTTATTGATGATTGTACTTTTGAAAATATTTTATTTGATGTGTAAAGTGTATTATTAATGTATTATTTTTTTATATTAATATTTATTTTAGCAACATCTGTAAAATAAAAGACTATATCGTGAAGTATAGTTGAAATGAATCCATGACCTATATGCTCTAAGAATGCTAAGTACAAAATTAATATGCATAGTACTCTCTCTAGGACAATGAAACCTAAGCATTATTGTCATTTATTCCATCTGTCCTTGCATATATGCTAAGTACAAAATTATAATGCGGAGTACTGTCTCTTTGTCAATAAAAAGTACCTATTATTGTCATTTATTCTTTCTATCCTTCTATATGGCGTATAAGCATAGATATTAACAGAATAATGATACATTTCGGGGATTGAGAAAAGTTTTTTATAAGAGACGTGCTCCTCTGTAAGTACCTGAAGAGTACAAACTGTATGAACTTTATTAAGGTGCGAGTATTGTTAATATTTGGTGATTTAACATCCAAAACTTTCGCCAGTTTGGTTTTGTCGTGGAGGTAAAATGCTATTCTACAATGAAGAATGTGTGTACACCAGTTATCGAACCAAAAACCTTTAAGGAAGTTGTGGTATAGTAATTTATATTTAGAGAGCACTTAACACGCCAGGTTTACACAGGAATAAAAAAGTGTAGTAAGTAAAGTGTATATAAAATTGTGGAAATAAAGTTGATAATTTCAATCTTTATATTAAAAACTTTTAAATAAATGTCATTCCTAATATATTCACATTATTTTCAATATAATATTTATGTATTGAATATGTCTTAGTCTTAAAATCCTGGGTGGCTCATCATAATAAGATCAGTATGAAGATTGTTCCCATCAGATGGAATAACAACATCTACTAAAAGATAAACGATAATAATAAATATTATTTGAAAACTGATATTTATACTGATACTGATATTTATACAGCCAATCATTAGCTTTTTCCTTATTTGCTTTTTCTTTAAAATGAAAACGGAATAGTTTCACAAGGAATAGGTTGTATTCATCCATTTCTGTGGTCCTTGTCTTATAGACAGTCATGGTCACGCTAAATTTGAAATTGTTGTTTCTAATGCAAATTTAGAAATTCAAAATGAGAGAAAGAGAGAATTTTGATTTAAATTTTGTTACGGTGACGAGGCTTATTGTTCTTCGTTGTTGTTTTACAGTAATGTTCTTCGTTACAGTGTTGCTCAGTAATCAGAATTTGCTCCTGTTATTTTTTAAATGTAGGCGTGTTAATACTTTCTTAAATAATAGTAAAAAAAGAAAATTTGTAATTGTGATATCGCTTTACTGTGACTATTTGTCAAATAATTGTCTGTATAACATGATCCCATATGCATTTGATCTTTTTTTTAGTTTATATTCTATATAAAAAAGTATAACAACATACAACACATACAGTATTTCAACCGCAAATATACCTAAAAAGTCGACCATGTTTTGTGGCGGTAAACTGTTAAACAAGCTTCGTTTTTCTGACTGTGTGATAACTTATCACTGATAAGTTTATTATGAACATATTTTGTCGAACAATGAAGTTCTGAAAAGTTTTTTCGCAGCTTCTGCTTCAAAAAACTTTAATGAAAAACGAACTTTGGCTTGTAATTTTTAAATATTTTTCCAGTTTCATTAATTTCTTTTATTTTTAAAAACCAACTTCAACTTCTTTTCAAGAAATTTTTCTCTCATAGAGTTGCATTCAAATTTGGCTTAATTTTTTTTCGAATCTGCATTTGAAATAAATTATGTCATTTGATTTCATTTATTTTTTCACAATTTATTTTTTGTACAGAAGAAAAAAAATTCATATTTGTAGTAGTATTTATGAAGGTTGAGGAAAATTTGTATTAAATGAAGTTGTATGTGAACGAGGTACATAATTAAAAAACTTGTGTGTTGAAAACAAATTAAAAACTTCTTTATAACTTTTTAACAGAATTCTGTTAAAATTAATTATGTATGTGTGCGCTTCTTCTGTTTTCTTCTTCCTTCTGAAACATGCTAGAATATCACATCATTTTAAGTCATTGTTGTCTTTGTAAATTAAATTCCTGAAAGTGTGCACATAACACATGTCATAAACTATCAACAAAAACGGAAGAAAACTTTTCACATAAACAAACTAACATTTTCAGGTGTGGGAGGTGTATGCGTTGCAAACACAGCTGAAGCAATTCACACCCAGCCAGCAACTAAGCTTGTGTGTGTGTGTTCAGTCAAGTATGAAGGCATTCCACTTTATCGTTTAACAGCTTGTAATGAAATTATCGCTGAGCTGCTGTATAATAATTTTCTGTTTTCAGCGCTGCTCGAACCTGCTGCACATGTCTGTAGACTTTTGCCGGTTAGTAGTTTGTTGTCGTTGACATACTTTCGCTGCAACTTGTTCGAGTTAAGACAACAGTGTTGCATTTATGCTGTTGCTGTTTGCTTTGAATTTCGTTGCATGTCGCAGTTGAAGTGATAATTTAATTAAAGCAAACACATTTTAATGCTTCACCTTTGAGCTATAATATTATTGTTCAGGCTTGAGGGTAACTGATTTTATTCAAAGCTTAACTTCAAGTGGGTTTGATTGACTTAAATTGTAGCTAACGACTAGGTTTAGTATATTGTTTGTTAGTAATTAAAAAATATTGTATGGTACTTATTTGTGACAAGACCATTTATAAAAAAAATGTATCGTTTATGGTAAGTTCATTTATTACTATATTTATTTATTATTAAATTATATTACTGCGACTAAATTTGAAGACAAGATAATGTGCTTGACAGAAGAGGTGAAAGTATTATGCTATACTTGTTTAATAAAAAGACAACGTTGCATTATATTTGCAGTTACATTTTACTTGGACTCTGATAATATAGCTTAAGTATTGAATTCCTTTTCATTTTTCTGTCAATTATGTTTAGGAAAAGCTACATTTGTTTGTGGGAAAAGTTCACACACTTGATATGAGTAAAATAGATTAAAGTACTTTGTGGAGTTTATAATTGTTGTAATCTTATAATGGTTTAATTTTGCGTGATTAATACTATTGTTTATACAATATATTATATTTATGAATACAACATGCGATATTCAAGTTGTGTCAATATAATAACGCTCTATATACAGACAGTCTTTAACATAGAAATTAGGTTTCTTATGAAAATTAAAGTTATTGTGAATATTAACAAATATTTCAAGTATTTTCATTGCTTTGAAAAAAACAGTTTAGATTTTAGCTATAGTAAGCTTTTATTTAGTAAAATTTTTAAATAATCCTAAAGACTTAAAATATATGTATGTTGATAGGTACGATTTTTCCTAAGAGACGAAAATTTTGTATGAGAGGTGATCTCTAGAAAGAGATCAATGTATGTAGATAGCTTTACTTTCTGAGTCGACTATATGAAGCTAATATTTAGTTCTTAAATGATTATAAGATCTCCTTTTCTTTTTTAAAAACAATACTTTTGTATTTGAAAGATTTAAGTTATATGAAAAAAAATTTTGTCATAAAAAAATACTAGAGACTAGTTACGTTTATAAACATCTTGGATGTAACAGCCAAAACCTGATTTTTGCTTAGAAATAAAATTTTGAAATGTATTATCTAATTAATTAA